CTTGTACGTGAGGGTGAAAGCAGCTCAGACAGTGATCTCGGAGCTTGTTGCAAGTCCCAACTTCAAAGGAGACTGGGTGTCAGGGTAGATGCAGACTCCCAACAAACTGGAGAGGTGCACACACTTGGAGCCAGAAGGACAGCCTCCCAAGATGCAGGCCAGGGCGCAGTACTTGTCGCCGGAGCTGCTATCCTGCAGAATGCACATGGGATGCGCAGTGGTTCCGGTTGGCACGTCGGTAGGGCAAGAGCCGCTGTCGCAGTGGGGAGCGCAAACGCTGCCACCAGCTCCCTCCACTTCGGCCTGGACCTCGCCGCTTTGGCAAGGAGGCTTCTCATAGTGACTCTTGCTGGGAGTAGGAGGCGAAGGAGGAGATGGAGGGGAAGGAGGAGATGGAGATGGTCCAGAACCAGACACCACTGGGTAGGAGGCCTGAGCCTTGATTCCGCACTCACCAGGGCCAGGCTTGCCACGCTCAAGCTTCACGAAACCCTAAGTGGCTCCCCAGCTGTTCTTCACCAGCCAGTAGTCAGTGCCATCCTCTGTGCCGTACCCAACCACCAAAACACCGTGATCAAGCTTGGTGCCGCAGGTCTTGGTCAGGACACCGCTCTTGTAGGGCTGGAAAGCCATTTGATCTGCCTCAATGGCCACTGAAACTGGTTGCTTTGCCACAGCATCCATGAGAGCATTCTCATCATCCACCTTCACATCAACATAGCTCTTCACACCATGTGCAGGGATTCCCACAGTGCAACCCGAGGCCTTGCAAATGCCGTTCTTGGCCGTGTAAGGGTAGCTCTCTTCAGTGCAGACTGCTGCCTGCTCCTCATACTTGAAGCCATTGTCCATGAGACCACCACTGCAGCCCTGATTGCCAAACTTCTTGGAGCAGTCAACAAGCTGCTGCTCAGAAAGAGACACCAGCTTGCCAGTGGCGATGGCCCATGCACCCTCCAATGCTCCGGTGGTGCTGAATGCCCAGCCTTCGCACTGCGAAGGGAAATGCAACAGAAGGATGCATTCAAATCCAGAGAAAACAAAACAAACCGAGCAACAACTGATTCAACTGATTCAGTTTCGCTCTTGACAATAGAGACCAAACAGGTTGTGGAAGTGCAAAAGAATACATTAAACCCAAGAACCAGCCCCACTGCATTGTGACAAAAAAAAAAATCACATAAAACAAAATCTTATAAAATCTTGTCTAAGACTGCCAAACATGGCACAAGATCCACACTGCTGCTGGTTCTTCACGGGTGTAACTGCCTTGCTCCTCCAATCCACGGACTTTGGCAAGGTAGAGTTGCTGACCTTGTGCATGCCACCACTGGGGATGTTGCCCCAAACTGACTCAGACTCAGATGGCAGCCTCATGCCAAGCTTGCTCATCTTGAACTCGTCCATGGACATGTCAGAGAACTCGTTGAGTCCCAGCTTGTATGAATGACCCTGCGCATTCTCACGCTCAATGTACTCGTAGTTCTCAGCGAATGCCACGAAGCGAGCCTTAACAATCACATTGATCTCTTAACAAACATGAAAATCTAGAACACATGAGACTGCTTCCAGCCAAGAGATGTTTCATAGCATTCACAACCAGCACATGTTACATGTTTTACCAAAGGCGCCAGCGGTTTGAACATGTTTGAACCGACAAACACAAAACCTCACTCAACAGCCACGATGTGCAGCAGGGAACCTGCTTCTCCACTTCATCATAGTGCTTCCCGAAGTCTTTCAAGAACTGCTCGTAAGCGTTCTGGACATCTGCTCGGGGCTTCTGAGCATAGGCGAAAGCCAAAGCACCCAGGGCAAGTTTCAAAGTCTTGACCATGGCACAAAACTCTTCAGATGGAAGATGCGCGAAAGACTAAAAGCTCCTCGAAGATCTCTTGGCTCTGGCACAAACATACATTGGTCTCCATATGCAACTACAATACAAACATCCATCAAAGGCTGAATTAGCTGTGTGTCAGTGCCAAACATGACTGCTGACATGCACTCCGATGCACTCCGTTTACACCTGTACTGCTGCTCGGCCTTTTTGCAATCTCGAATCTTGCTCAAGCAGCAGAGAAACGAGAAAACAAGTCAGAAGGGATTTGTCAGGCTGTCACCCTTGTACGTGAGGGTGAAAGCAGCTCAGACAGTGATCTCGGAGCTTGTTGCAAGTCCCAACTTCAAAGGAGACTGGGTGTCAGGGTAGATGCAGACTCCCAACAAACTGGAGAGGTGCACACACTTGGAGCCAGAAGGACAGCCTCCCAAGATGCAGGCCAGGGCGCAGTACTTGTCGCCGGAGCTGCTATCCTGCAGAATGCACATGGGATGCGCAGTGGTTCCGGTTGGCACGTCGGTAGGGCAAGAGCCGCTGTCGCAGTGGGGAGCGCAAACGCTGCCACCAGCTCCCTCCACTTCGGCCTGGACCTCG